GGGGCTGGGGGCGCGGTTTCTCCCCTCGTCGCCGTTCCCCGGGCGGTGCTCGGCGCTGAGCTGTGGGGCCGCTCGCCGGGGCGGTTGAGGCGGCCCCTGTGTAGAGGGCCGGGGCGGGTCTCCCTCCCCTGTGAGGGGCTGCGGATGGGGCCCGCCGGGCGGGTGCTGTCCCCACATGCGTGGGGACGGGTGGGTGGGCGGTGGTCTGCGGGTGCTGGCTGGAAAGGGGGTGGTTGTCGTGACACCGTGAAAGAAACCCAGCCTGGGTCCTGGGTTCGGCTGCTGCGGGCTGGCAGCATCCGAGAGCCTGTTCCTCAGTGTATCCCACCCGTGTGGTGCTAGGAGTGTGGTTTTTTTTTTTTCTTTCTCCTCTTTTTAACTGAATTTTCTCCTGCCGGAGAGGGTTATGTGCTACTTCCTGTTTATTCCTGCCTTCTCCCTCTGTTAAACAGGAGCTTATAAAAACTTGGGGGGTAGAGTGTAGTTTTATACTATTTTTAGTAGTAAAATCTTAGCTTATAGAAAAAGGCTTTGTGAAACTGTCGTCTCTTTCCTCCCTCCCTCTTTACCCCAGATGCTTACAGGTCTTTCAGCTGTCACTGTAAAGCTTTACTGTGGTTTTTCATTCTTCTTACTTTTGATGAAAATGCAATAAACTCATTGCAGAACTATACTAATGGTTTTGGTGAAGACTTTAAATTTCTAGAAAGCCTTATTCCTTAGACTGTGGAGGAGCTTCACTGAGGTGGCTGCTATGTTTTCTTCTCTATTACTTCTACAGATTGTGCTAAAAGAAAGAAGAGATTAGGATAAGCACAAGCAGCGTTAGCGCATGGTGTATAACAGTTGAATGACACTACAGCTACTTTGTGTATGGGAAAAGTGGTGCAAAATACCTGTAATTGCATACAGTGGGAAGAATATATCATTTTTTTGTTTCCCGAAAAGGAAGATGACTGTGGAGATCTGCAAGTTCCAGTGGAGAAGAGAGGAGTGACTTGCAGAAAATGTTTGCTCTGTGTACCCCTGAGGGTGTGGGATAGGTTCCTCTCTAGAAATGTAACCGCATAACAGTACTGTAAAGAACTCCTCGCATGTCTCTAGGGATCATGTAAAAGAGGTGGTTTATGTGGGCAGGGCATTTTGAGAAGGGATTAAAGAGGAAGAAAGGATATGCTCTACCCAAGTATTTTTCCTTAGGAAATATACATAGCAAACCTGTTTTGCCATTAAGGTGTACATGAGAGAAGCTTCTTGAAAAGGAAAGAAAAAGAAGTTTGGAGGCAATGATTTGCAATTAGCAGAGGGCTCATGCTGTTTAAAGACTTTACTTTTGGTAGCCATACACACGCGTATGTGTATATAGATGTGGAAGACTTCTGCTCTTCCCACTAAAGTCCAAAGACTTTAATGTCAGTCAGTCCTTTGGAGCCTCCCTGTGAAAGGCCTGCTTTGTCTCCTTCATTCTAACACCTCAAGGGCATGGTCTGACTGCCTTGGTGTAGACAGTATAGAAAAGTTACATTAGTGACACCTTTGCAAAACAAAATATTTTTATAGCTACCTAATAGCACTTGTGACTTATGTAACTGAAGTGATTTCTAGCCCTTAATATCTATGTATGAAAGTCACCTTCAGGACATCAGTATATTGGAAAGCATTTAATAAGACAAATTTGCATGGGAATCACTTTCATAGATTCTTTAATGTTTTGCTAACATAGGCGAATAATATAATTGATGTCTTCAAACTTTAATGTGCTTGGAGCGCTTACATCTTTTGCAAGGGCTAGTAGCTATTGAGTTGTCCTTAACTTCTTTTGCCCCTCTCGTGTGGGAATAAGTAAAGGACCCGAGAGACGGTACAAAAACACTGAGCTGGGGATTCAACTTAACTGCTGTGTTTCTAATCTAATGCTTAGCGCTCCTGTTTAGCTTTTATGCAGAACTGGTGCTGTTTAGAATATAACCAAAATTTCTTTTTGAGTGCTTTCCACTTCTGGAGCTGGGAGAAAATCTGATGTTGAAAGAAGGCTGTAGTTACAGAATGAGGATGAGAGTTGGCTTGTGATCTTTCAATCTTGAAACTCTTTGGAGAGAGCTGTCAGACTGTTTAAAATAATGTAGAAGAAAGTGATAAATACTATACATCATGAAATCGAGAGTGAAGTGGTGATACGGATTTTATCAGGGTAGATTAGTTTTCTAACCATTGAACTAAATGTATGGAAAATTTCTCTGCCATCTGTGCCCTCCTAAGTTGTTATCTATGCAGCCACCATTTTTAAGTCATGGAAGTTATCTGTACAGCAGGAGCTCCTTGCTCTCTTCTGTGACATTATTTTTAGCATGCGGTTATTCCAGGGAAACGTTTTTCCCCTTGGTTATGAGCACAGAAGCATTAGCCTGATGGGATCATCTGTCATTAGGGAAGGGACTTAAAATGGTCACCAATCTAGGGACATGAATGTAGCCCTAAACTTTTGGAGTTCAGTGATTGTTTCTAGTACGTAAATTACAGATTTTAGTACAAACAAGCACTCTCAAAGCATACCACAGGTAGAGATTTCTGTTTTTCTCCTTGCTCCCAGGAGCAGCTGTTTGGATTCTGCAGGCAAAGCATGCTGTGCCATCTACTGTGGGCAAATCTTAGTTCTGGAAGAAAAAGTTAAGAGTTCATTAAAGTTTAGATTGAGTAAAAAAATCTCAGTCGTGTTCTGAAACGCTGTGTGTTTTAATTTTCTTGTTATTTTGTTTGTCCCAAACTTGCATTGGTGGTTCCTGCACGATTGTTACAGTGCTGGGATTATTTCACAGGCACTAGCCTTGCTGGAGCTGTTTAAGCTGCTGCCATGAGAAACTGTTCCAGCTTTCTGGAGCTGCTAGGTCTTCATCACAGGCTGTTCCTTGTGAGCTCCTGTCTCCCTCCAACTTGTGCTGGCACTGCTGCTTGAATATCTAAGTGGATACGCGGGACTGAAATCTGGCTGAGAACACATTTTTCCCAGTCCTTGTGAGTATCTTCTCAGCTGGATGTATTCCCTAGTCTGGTTCACTATGTGAATATACAAACTTTTGGGATCCATACAAAGGAGAAGGTACTTGGGAGTAGGAATGATTTAGTTTAAAAAAAACAGCCTTAGGTGGAAGAGTGTTTCCTTGCTTGTAGTTTGTGTGCTGTGTTGGCAAATACGAAAAACGGGTTTTCTCTTCTTCCTCGTAGAATTACCAGTGGTTCTTAAACCTCGTAAGAGTGAAAGAACTGTTGTGTATAGCACAGTGTACCTTACAAAACCTTGTACTACATCTTGTTTACAGTTGGCTTCAAGAGGATCTGCTTACAGTTACAAGTGCTTGGCTGTTCAGCACTCTCAGAGAGGGAGTAAAGAGGAAGGGCAAGGGCTTTGTTAGACAAAAAAAATACAGAAGTGTTACGTTTGCTTTCATGTTTAAAAGATTTATACACTCTTGTATTAATAAGCTACATTTTCAGCCTTGTAGATTAAATCTTGCAGACACCTGAAGGTTTCTTGTATGCTTTATACATACTCTATCAGTAGAGGCCCATAAACAGGGGATTAACATGTCAAGTGAGTTGAAATAAGAAAAGATTTCAAAACAGTTTCTTTGTAATGAAAATGTGGAAAAAAATATGTTTTCTTCATGTTTATAAGCACTCAGGAATACTTATGGCTAATGGGAAGTACACTGCAAATATAAAGGGGCTATTCTCATGGTGTCTTAAACTTGAATCCCTGAAAGCATAGGGGCAAAAATCTTAGTAATATTGCTAGCGGAAGACAGAAGGAAGAGGTAGAATTTATGACTAATGAAAATAAGTATGGTACTCTAGCTGTTACTATTGGGCATTGCTTACTGTATTTTCTAGTAATGCTAAAATATACATTCCTTCCCATATTAGACTTCTTAAAGCAAATGTTGGTATATGATGCTTTTCCTGTCTGGAATCTGGAACTGTGCATCTCCATTGCAACATTGAGACCTTTTTCTGCCTGTAAAGCTCAGTATCAATGAGTAATTTACAAGATGACCAGTATGGTAGGGAAATCTATTTTCTCAATGAGGGACATATAAACCTTTACAAACACACATGTAAGCCATCTATAAATAACAAGTTAATTTTCTGTTTTGCTGTTGTGTGCTGTGTCCTTAAACCACCTGAAGAGGTTTCCCAGGGCTGCATTGGGTCCCTGGGAGGCAGGTTCTCAGCTAGACCTCAAAGCATCAGTGTTATGGTGAGCATACAGTTCTACAAATTACTGGGTAGGTTGATGTATATGAAGTTATTTTGTAACTGTTACAGCTATTCAGGTTTGAGCTCAGTTTGGCTATTGTGCAGTTAATAGATAAAGCAGGGTGCTTTTCCAAAATACGGTACTAACACTATCTGTTTTTTGAGGATTCAGTAGAGGTGGGAAACTCCAAGCCAAACTCAGAAGTCCAGAGTTGAGCTCTCATAAATGAATAGTCTGCGTTCTTGGGCTTTCAAGAGTCAAAAGCTTCATCAAATTAAAGTAACAAGTCATGACAAAAATAGGTTATACTTGATGACTCTGCTGCCCTCTCCTAGTTTTGCAAGATACAAAAAAGTCACTAGGTCAAGCTGAGCTCTCTGGGCTCTGTTCTGAGGAAATTTTTATGTGAGGTATAATACCCTGGTTTGGGGGGGGGCAGCCAATTAAGCATGTACCTTGAGAGTTAGATTGGCTTGCCTTGGTTGGTGGTTTGAGAGTTCTTTGGGGGTTTTGATGTATCTTTTAATGAACCTACCTATAGCAGGAGCTTGGGAGCCTGGGGCAGGTGACACCTGAGTAGCTGTCGATTTGGAGGTGGCAATTTAGCGGTGTTCCTTCGTGGCCCTAGCTGTGCATTATTTACAAAATGTCTTTTTATTTTTAACTACTTATTCAATTGCTAATAGTGGCTAGGAGCAGACCTCTAAAGAGACTTTTCTTGAAGTGGATTCTAGATTAAGCAAGCTCTTAAACCTTAGTGTATATTGGTAGAGATACATACAAAACCCCCCAGCTCCTTCTTTCCAAAACTGTGGATTAGAGTTGGAATTTCACATCTGAGTTGAGCAATATGCTTGATTTGTTTTAGGAAATTACCCCACATGTATTCAATTCAGGGCTGAACCTGGTTCTCTAAGTGATTCTAGTGTGTGTGTGAGAGGAGGTAGTTAAGTTTTTAAACATAGATCCATGATTAGGTTAGGCTATTACAAAATCTTTATGTGAAATCTGTCTAATTCTGTAGTGTAAAAACAGAGCTGAGTGTGGTTTAATGCTTTTTCAGTTTTTTTAATTGCTTGGTAACTTTACTCTTTCTGTATAAAAAGTTTGAATAGGGCATTTTTTCAAGACAGCACATGGCTAAGATTCCAAGCCTTAATGCTAACTAATTTTCCCATCATAACCTTTCCTTCCAGTCTCCATCTGTGGCATAACTTTTCTGGCTTCTCATATGTGTTCAAAACTAGCTTTGTATAAAAGGTGTTTACAAGAAAATTCAGAAGCTTTTCCTCCCTTGCCCCCTCCCCCTCTAGCTAACTGCAAGTATTTAGATTAGCCCCACTGACCCTGAACAAGCACTTTCTTCAATGAATAATACTAACTCGGTGGAGGTGTGTCGTTTGTTTTTTTTTTTTGTTTGTTTTGTTTTTTTTGTGGGGGGGGTCCTGTATGACCTTCTTCGGACTATTTGTGGTCTCACAAGTACTTCTGTCAATCGTGTTTGACAGGAGAGGAACTCTATCTGCTTAACTGTGTGTACTCTGGAGCAGGAGAGTGTAGTCTGCTGCTTCTGCTATAGCTATCCTTGCTCTTCCCTCTGACAAGATCTAAATTGCAGTATAGTCACTGAAGGTGTAACTGTGCTGCCATAAACTTGGGATAATAACCAGCTGGTAGATATGGTTGCAGCTGGCGGAATTCTGTCCTTAACTGTATCTTCCCTCTTTAATGCCTGAAACAGCTTGTAGTGTCACATTCTCAGTTGAACAATAATATACCCCTACAAAAAAAGCAACCTCTGGTGGTTTTGATTCTAGCACATCAAATGATTTGCCTTTCAGGTTGTTATTCTGGATTTTATTTTTGGAGAGTGAAGAGAAAAAATTAAAGAAGCAAAAAACCCTACCAAAACAAACACAAGAATGGGAGAGAACCCAGCATGTGAAACAGGGTGGAACAATTGCTTTCCACTGACTTTTTAGTTCCAGAATAATTAAGAATATCTGAATTGTTCCAGAATAATTAAGTTGATCTAGATTACCTGGGACAGTGTATGCTATGTCTGCCACTAGTGATTGGCATCTAAATCTTCTGTGAAGCTGTAGCAGCTTTCTAGTCATGAAGCTTGGTCTGAGCTGACATGAGGTAGCGTGCTCTAAGGCTTCCTTTAGTTCTGTATCACAGGGCTTGTGTTGAAATATATTGTTTTTCCTTTAACATTATAATGTCAGCTGCATTACAAATGTGATGCCCTTCTCATTCCTGGGGTGGTTTCTGCTTTCTGTGATACATGAAAAGTATCTAGATCAGGCTAGAGGGCTGCGTAAGGAGTGTTCTCATTCCAGTTACTGCCAGCCACTGGTACTTCAGAACCAATATGAGCTTACAGTAAACTTAAGATAATTGAAAAATTGATGAATTTTTATGTTCACTGCTGTTGTGGAAGGGGCAGCTGAATTCTCTGGCTCTCTCTCAATATTCTTTATATGAACATATACTTCCTTAATTTTTGGTCTCCTTTCTAGTTTAGTGTAGTCAGTCTTCATCTTTTTTTTTTTTTTTTTTTTTAAAGTCTTCTCACAGGAGAGCCTTTACTTTCTACTACTTAGATTTCTGCAACTTCTGAAAATGATTCTTTCAGACAGAATTGACAGGTTCTGAGTTCTGGCAGTTGCCAGTCACTGCTGTTACATGCTTCCTACTAGGCAATATTCAGTATTAGGGCTTTTTACAGTCTTTTTTATTCCAACTGGGTGAGCAGGTGTAGTTCTCCCAGAGCTGTTTGTATTGATGCAACTTTGGTGTGGGGTCATTTATCTGTCTGATTATTTTTGTTTATGGTTAACTGTAGCTGCCATTATGCTGTGAATTGACTTGCTTGAGAAGTACCTGTCTGAATCTCCTCCTTAATACACCTGCAAATCTGTTGTATCATCTATCGTGTTCTCTTTGAAATAGCACGTGTATGCTGCTTTTTCCTGACATGTCATGCAAAATTGTTAAACTATAGGAGCTGTCTTTGTAGAAGTTGGTTCAGAGCAGAAGTCTCAGAGAAAAGGAGAAAAAGGCCTCTTTTCCTCAGACCACCATCAGGGGTTGTGGTAGGGAAGACTGGGAGCTGAACTAGCATCTAAAGTCTGTTCTACTTGTGCTCTCCATACTGGTCCAGTCCATTACCTGCCTTATTCCCAGCAGCTCCCTAGCAGCAAAGACCTCTTCCTATACGCAGCACACATGGATGCATACTCTTTTGAGAACTTTGTAGGTATTTCTTGGAACAAGAAGGAAAGAAGGTGGTATAGTGGCAAGCTTATTAAAAATCATTTATACCTAAGCTAATGACTTCGTATCTAGAGCTTCTGAATTGTTTTTGGTTACTGTTTGTTGGGTGTGTGCTTGTGGGAGGGCAGATCTTTATAAGCTTTTGTCCAGTTGGTGAGAGAATGGAAGGATATGGAAGAGTTTGCTCAAGATGTTAGTATGTGAACTGTTTTTATCTTACTGGAATACTGTAGCAAGAGAAAAACATTTAACTCCCTCTTTCTTCTGTAGTGTGAAATACTGTGTTCAAGATGGTGCCTTATAACTTCACATAAACTGTATTCATCTGTGTATGATCCAAATGAAAAGGTAAGTAGTATGGTGCATGTTTTCTCTTTAACATTTTACTGTACCACTGACATTTGTCTTTTAAAGCTATCCTGTCCCGTGCTGCTACTAACAGTGGTAGTTCTCCTAGTATAACCTGTGTACAGTCACTAGTTTAATAGCATGTTTTTCTTCCTTTTTTAAATCAAAAAGGAAGTTGCTTTTACAGTATACTTGTCAAGATTGGATGCTACTTCAGGTGCATACCTTAGAAGGTTGGATAAGTGATTGCAAGCTTGGGAAAGTTACGTACTGGCCTGAACATGTTATAATTATGAAACAAGTATTAGTATTCTGCATGGGGGAGTATAGGCCTGTTAAAACACGTGGGAGGTAGACTAACCAAAAGCTTTTCATAGAAACAAAAGCATGCAATAGTGGCAGCATGATTGTTAAATGATCTGACACAGGGGTGAGAATTTTAGAGCTTGGATAAAGGTGGGCCTTTAGGGCCTGCAGAGAATAGTAAATCCTCATCTTGGGACTTGTGCAGCCATCTCAATTTACAGTTACAAGCCAAGAAAAACTTTTCTTGTGGGAGATTGTCTTGGCATGGCCTCTGAAGTAACACACTTGGAAAAATAATGTGGCTGAAGGTACACTAGTATTGAAGGGCAAGAATGCTGACAACTCAGGACTGGTAGGCTTGCCCTTGTATACCAGTATAGAAGGAATTAACCAGGAGTGAAACAGTATTAGAAAATGGGGAAAACCTGTATGTACCTAGAACCGTGGCTTAAAAAGAAGTCTTTTGAAGAAATCTGTATTCTTAAGGTCCTTGCTTAATCAAGTTTGCCTTCCTTTTCTAAAGGCATAGTTATGTTTAGACAATGTAATTGAGTATTTGGTTTCTCTTAACTACGAGCTATGTCATTCCAACTGGTGGCTACTACAGATAGTTTAACCTCTTTTCTGCTTTTTCCATTCACTGCCCCTTCCACTGTCTTTGTAATGACAAAAGTTTCATTTGAGACCTTTTGGAGCTAATTAGTGGAAATGACATAAAAAAGAAATGCTGCATGTTACTTCAAAGCAGCATGTGATTTTTTTTTTTTATTTATTTTTTTTTTAACATGCTGGACTTGAGACTTGCCTTTAACAGCAGGAGCGAGAGTCCAGTCTCTTCCTGTTAGTGTCTTTATTGCAGAATTAGAAAATAAAAGTGTATGTCAAATATTCTTAACATCTTGATACTGAGAGTCGTGTCTTGCACAGTGACCATACTTGATTAATGAAACAACTCTTATATACCAAGAACTAAGTTGATGAAGTATTTGAATTATTAAACTTTTCAATGCCAAGTATTTGGGAGCTTTTTTTAATTCCCCCTTAAGTTTGTATGCCTAAAAAACTTCAAGTACCTAGAATGCTGAAATTTAGATTCAGCAACTGATTTTTGTGAGCATGTTGGGAACTTTTCAGTTTTTTCACTGGATTTTAGACCAGGTGCCCAGCTAAAAAAAGTCTCCAAACAAATTGCTAGCTCCTGTGGTGTTCTTACAGTATTTGTACCTCTGATAATTGAGCTTGCTTAGGGATGTTTAAGATCAGTCTTTTGAGTGGGGGGTGTGCATGCCTGTGTACGAGACAGCGGTACACTCTCCTCAGCAGATTTGGCTGAATTTACCATATAAGCTTTCTGCAGCTCTTACGTGGAAGGTTTTATTGCTTAATTTCTGTAGATTGTTATTGTGTAGTATTTTTAAACTGGTCATGTGATGCCAGCTCAGTCCTGACTTTGAAGAAGTAAATTTGGTCAAGGGCACCTTGGTATGTCTGTTTGGAGTAGGGGAGCAAACAATACATACCCTAGTCTGTCAATAACAGTTCTTGTTGGGGTTTTGCAGTGTTCCTTCCTCTCTTCTTACACCTGCCTTCCCCTCCCCAGATTAACTAATGACTGTGGGGATAACAGTTTTACTGTTGCAGTGGCAATACTTCTCCCCCCAGTCCATATAAAAACCAGTTGTTTGGTGTACGGGAGGGAGAATAGCTATCGAAAGTCATGCGGTATAGTTTGATAAACCTGATCTGGTGTGACTGCAGGCTGCCCCTGAAGGGGAGAGTCCTGCTGGTTCCCTAACCTGTTTTTTGATTTGGAGCATGAGAGGCAGAGTAGGACTGTTCGATTAGTGTGTTGAACTGATGTGTCCTGAAGCTGCATCCCTGCTAGGTCTGATGCATGGAAAGCAGTGGGAGTCAGTGTGTAAAGCAGGATTGTCCCTTTCAGTGGCAGTCTGTATTTACAACCAAGCAGGTGCAGTATCAAAGTGCACCTGTGTATTTAGTAGCAAGGCCAGTGACAGCAATAACCCTTACTCCCAGAAATGAGATTTTTATGCTGAGCAACTCTGCTCCTCCACCACTCTTTCTTAATGGGAAATTTTTGTCTGGGATGTAAGGCTTATTGACTTTTGACAGCTTGTTATCCCCTTCTTACAGGCATGGTAGGAGTATTGAAGGTATACTTACAGCATCAAGTTCACTCTAGTGTGAGAAGTGACAGTGAATTTCAGGGGTGTACTAGATTTGATTTGCTGTTGTGTTGCATTTTGGTTGCTACTTTGTATTGAGTGTGTAGCAGTGTCATGATCGCAGTGCAGGATTTTGCCAGGTTCCTTGCCTGAGGCTCAGCTGCAAGGAGGAGCAAGACTGGTACAATTCCAAGCATGCCTGTGCAGGGCAGAAGTGTTGGTCTTTTACCTTCCGTGCTCCGGTCAGGGAGGAACCTCTCCTCCTTATGATTGGAATGTCTTTTAAAGATGTCCCAAAACAGATGAGTCTTGTATTCCAGGTCGTCTGTGCTGGTTAGAGGCATTGACCACCGTACCTGCCAGCATGTCTCTTCCCTGGACTTGGCTGGCTCTTAGAGCTTCTGTAGAGTTCTAGTTTCTGCAGAGTGTGTGGTAAGGAGAGTCAGGGAATGTTGGTGTGAATAGTCAACACCTTTTTCTTCTGAACTTTTCTGAACCTGTGCCTATGCTAGGTAGATCTAGTATAGCATGCATACTGTTTATGCTATATCATCATTGTTAAATCAACAGAACCCCTTTGAAAGTAGGTGATCTCGGACTTACAAGCTCATGGATAAGCTAGGGTTTTAGTGGAAGTGGAGGAGAAAAGAATGCTTATTTCTGAAGGGAGAAAAACTTGTGTTTTGTTCATCTCTCAAGATTCTTATTGTTCTTTTCCCTTCAGACTTTTGAAAAACTCCTTATTGCAAACAGAGGGGAGATTGCATGCCGAGTAAGTATGTAATCTTTTAAGTTTTTTGTAGTTAAACTGTTGGTATTTTAAATATTGATAATTGTCACTTCTTATATGGTAGGTCATCAAAACATGTAAGAAGATGGGGATTAAAACAGTTGCCATACACAGTGATGTTGATGCCAATGCTGTAAGTACTACTTGAATTCAAATGGTAGATGGGATTATTAGTAGCTCAACAAGACTTGCAACTGTTATGCAGGCTTGTTGATTACCATGGTGAGCATGTTGGCAATTCTGAAGTATCTTTGTATATGTCCTTTTTCTCCATGTGCTTGAAAGGGGGGAGGTGACAAGGGTGAGGAGGATTGGACAAGTATTTAGCATGTTTTTTTGTGTGAAATCTTCTGTGTTTTGCACATGTAAATGTTACCTTGCTTTTTCCCTGGATTAAGCTAGGCAGTAACACCTGGTAGATACGTGCACCAAGTGTAAGAGTGGCAGAGGAACCTAAATTTTGTTTTGCTAATGTACACAAAAAAGGCAATGAAAAGTGGATCTTAGGAGATGGTATAGAACTTGGTATAAATTGTTCCTGTGCCTGGTAAATCCAAGTCATTGCTTCCCACTTCACAGAGGAATGGCCTCTATTACCAGGTGTGCTGAATGGGCCTACCGGAGCTGTTCCATTTGGTGAGGATATTGAGGTGCCTTGAATATTCAGCAGCATGGCAAGAAGGTGGTAAAATTGCTATCTAGACAAGTAAGGTACTTGTCTAACTACTTGCCCATTTTCAGGTCTTGTAGTCTTTTGTCTACTTTATTTTAGAAGTATTTTAAGTGACTTGTAGCAAGAATAGGAAGGTAATTTCCTTTGTGATAACAACAAGTGTAGTCATACGTGCATATCCTTGTTGAGTAGAGAGAACATCATATTATTCCTTGCCTGCAAGAACTGGTACAAGAGAAAGGAATGGGGGTGCCTCTGTGTCCTGGGATAGTTTGTTGAAATCTGGAAGGGAGTTAAACCCCTGTGTTATGATTTAATAGAAGAGGTCCCTCAGACAAGCTATCAGGAAAAAAATAAATTTGTATTTTATGGAGGACAGGACTTGTGAATATAGGTGGTGGGTTGCTCAACACTGAAAAACTGAAGCATGGTTGATGGAATCTGTGAAAGTAATTAGAACTTAGGTGTTTTCAGAGTTAAGTGAAAGGTGAGAACTGGTGGGAGTTTTGGACTTTGACAGTGCTTTTGTCTGAGTCCTTTTGTGGTTCTATTCCTACATGACCAGCTCAGTTCATATAAATAGGCTGTAGGTAGAGCAAGCGACTGAAACTGGATTTTCTGAGATAGGACAAATGCCCTACTACTTGACTTCTTTGCCAAGTACTCTTCATTCACCTCAGAAAGAATTATAGTTGGTCTGGATTTTAACTGGTAGCCATAACTGGGAGACTATAGTAGCTTGTGGGTGCTCAATGGACTGTGAAATGAATTCTTAATGGATAGGTGTCAGACTTCATGATAAATCCTAATTCTTTTGGAAGCCAAAGGTTAAGTGGATATGAATACAAACTACTCTGTATGATCTATAATCCCTCTAGTAAAACTGAAGCATGCTGATGGGTACTTGTATTCTATCTTATGTATATCGTAACTGCTGTTAGGATAAAGGGATTCAGTGTTTAGCAGCATTGCATAGTCTTGTTCACTGGAGTGAATTCATTCTGAAAATAGGTTAAAAAAAAGAAAACGTTTTCTTTCACTAGTGTGCAACAGACTTGAGAAAATGAGTTGGTCTTCTCTCCAGTGTCTCTGGATGGCTTTGGTTATTGTGTGGGCTCTGCTATGAGCTGGAGACTATGAAAAAATCTGATAGTAGTAAGTAAAAACCAAGACTGAAGAACATAATGAGGGAATAAGAATGACAGGAAAAAGTACAACTCATGACCTTAGGGAAGGGAGTGCAAATAGTGCATTACAAAGAGGAAATTGAAAATATGTCTATTCTGCTTCAGTCTGCAGTGCTGTCTTAGCTTTAAAATATGAACAGGGTCTTTAATTTGTAACAGTTCATAAGAGAAAGGAAATACAAGCTGGTATCTCAGAAATGCACTAATATAACAGTTCATAAAGATAACATTAGGTGTGCTGAATGAGATGCCGATAGTTTGAGTTCGTGGACTAGAGAGAAAGCTCTAACAAATGCTGTAAGGGTGAAATAGTGTCTGCTTAGCTCCTTGTATGCTTGCTTAAAGACCAATCAAACCTATCTGTACAAGGTTAAGCATTAGCTGTGTGCACTGAAGAAGCTCCAAGTGTTTGAAGGAAAATGAAAGGCTACTTGAAACACTGTTCTCTGTGCTTAAAAATAGGGTAGTGGTATTAAGTCTAAGCTAGTTTTTTGGTCTAGTTATACATATGTTGCTTTTGTCTACCATACATCCTTTAATCACTACCTTGGGTGCTTGCACTGGGAAACAGTTTAATGTCATCTGTCATTTAACGACTTGGTTACCTCCAGTTATTCATTGTTTGTGGGAACAACCTGGCCATTGCAGGGGTGTGTGTGACTGTCAGTTTGGACGATCTGGATAGATGAGTCCAGAGGCCGAATTCTTTGACTGTGTTACTTACCGTAAAGTAACAAACCATGTTTGCCCTGTGGTGTTCGTTTTTGTTCAGGTTCCATCAACAGTGACCTTCTTGGTTATACTAGTGGTAGCAAAATCTCAAACACTCTGAAATCAAACTTAGGAGCTGATGCAACCTGCCAAAGGAACCTCTGTCCTCAATGTAGCTAGGAGAAACCTGTTTGCTCAGTGGTGGGATGCTGTAAAAGAGTTGTGAATATCCTTTTTATTTTGTGCTTGACAGGATTAAGCAAGACATTCCTCACTCCTTTAAGACTTGTATCACAAAGGCAATGAATATCATAGGTAGCTACCCCGAGGTTGATAGCTGTTGAACCAAAGGTAGGAATAAATGTAGATGTATGTGGTTGAATTAGTTGCTCAACCCAAAGCTGTTTGTCTTTACTATAAATAGGGGGACCTGGTTTTAACTGACTGGAGTAGGTAGGGATGGCTTACAAAAATATTTTTGATTGAAGTGTTTAGGAATAACATTAATTGCAGTAGGTAAGTTTTCTGTTTAGAACTTAGAGTAACCTTTGAGATGTAGTAATAGCCCCTTACTACATTACCTGTGTAGCTACTTGCTGAAATATGGGTAGTCTGATACTCTTGATACTAATTCATTTTTACAAATAACTTTAAAAGGAGGCCAAACCAGACAGTCTGTTACATCTCTCTGGCTTTCCTTTCTGTCCTGCTGGTTGAAAACAGAATTGAAATTGCACTGAAGCAGGGTTCTTTGAGTGTGCTTGCAAACTATTTAAGGGGGGAAAAAATATTGCAAGGTATCTCGCAATTCAGGCTCTTAAGTGATAGCTTCTAGTTTATTCCCCATCCAGTGTCATATGCATAAATGACTCAAGCAGGCATTTTTACCGGTGTTTGGATGGGAATGGTATACATAGTCTTAAAATCATTGTTCTTTGAATAAAGATACTCTAAGATTCATTAGTGAATAATCTTATCCTAGAACTTTATTTTGGAAATTTTTTTTTTTGTTGAATATTCAACTTTTTTTCTTTTTTAAATGTTAAAATTCTCTGAAATCCCTGTGGAGTTTATAGTGCTGAATGGAGGTGCTGGGAATAGCCTAAATACATATAGATTTTCAGTGAAACTACTACTTCTTGTTCTTCAGACTTAATTTCTATGGAACAATGGCAAATGTCTTGAGTATGCTGTAGAGCAATATTCATTTTGACATACTAATTTTACATATAAATGAGAAGTAACTAGACTATAACAGTACAAAGGAATTTTCATTTCAAGAAATTAAAAGTTCACTAACTGTTATGAGCAGGAAGCAGCAGAAAGGACTGTTATAAATTATGAATATGGCAAAAATTGAACAACCTACTGAGAGCCAAATTAAGCTTACCTGGAGAAGGAAAATACAAAGAACAAAAATACTGTTTTGTGCACTTAATTAAAAAAATTGCCAAAGATATGAAGGATTTCTATAGGTTAAAATTGTTAAGGTGATAGGGAGGGAATGTTAACAAAGCTTAAAAGGAGGTGGGTGATTTCATAGACTTTTGGGTGCTTGTGTACTAAGGCAGAGTTACAGGTAGCTGGAAATGGTATTAAATGGGATTGGATTACATTTAGAGGTGGGAGCGGGTGTGAATTGGGGGAAAAAAGATTATGTCCAAAGTTATTTATGCAGCAGAAGAGAAGCTGCTGCTTTAACAACTGTCCTGAAATAAAATCATTGTGGTGGTTGGGGAAAACAGCCTGACAAAATGGCTTCTGAAACCCCCATAGAACATACAGTTGCTCATGTGGTACTGATTATGTTGAGAAAAGTAGGTCATAATGGATGCTTTTTAGGGTCTTGAAAATCCTGGCTAATACTTTTCGTTACATCTGTTATTTTGGGGAAAGCAAAGGGAAGAAATTGTATACTGTTCAAAAAGCTGATTTTTTTTTCTTTTGCTTTAAAACTTCAGAGTTCAGCTTGCAAGACACTAATTCTTTACACTTGGATAGGTCAAAGTGGGGAAGGACCAATAGAATTTGGAAAATTTTTTAATTAAAACATCTGGTGGAATTATTTTTGGGATGAGAAAACAAGCAAAGAAGTTTCGGGAGAACAAGAGTAATCGTATGTACTTTTTCCCCCTGAACTGATTGGAATAGAGGGTTAAGATGAAAGAGCCTCCTCAACCATAAATGTAACACTGATGGTGCAAACATTGTCAAGGAAAGCTAGAGAACTATTGTAATGCCTAATGTAATCAGCTAAAAGTATGATAAATGAAGAACAAGCTTTCACTAATTGGATCTGAACAAAAGAAGGTATAGCATAAAGCAGTGAATGAGATATAATTTTATTTGGCATTTTTTAACACAGCAGGGATTCTATAGCCATACGAAGCAATGAACTATAAATGACTGAAAAAATCCCATGGGAAAGTAATGTAAACTACTAAAACTTTACAGAGTAGTGGACAGTTAGTTATACTTCTTTAAGATAGTTTTTTTTTTTCTGTCAGTCACTTAAGACTTCAGGTGCTATTGTATTAAATTGCCTTAAGCATAGACATCTCC